ACTTTTTAGAAAAGTCGTTATACGCTTCACTTTTTGAGATGAGACTTTTAAAAAAATGAGTATTATTTTCTGTTGGAAACGATGTGATACGGATTTTCTTTGGGGAAAATATGTAGCTATTATTTTTCTGTCTTTTAACTCGTCGAGTACCGGTTTTATAGACACAATTAAAGAACAATAGGTCGCGGTCACCGGTGACCACTTGGTGTTTGACAGTTTAAACTTAGGTTTCTAAACCTCATCAAAGGTATCTATACCATAATTGTGTCTACTAAGTGGAAGGTTTCTGGCACTAAGTGTATGGTGGTTTTCATTATCATTACTTCAAGTTTCTGATCACTAGAAAGAATATGAGTGAGAAAATTTCATTTTTTGCTGTTACGTTATTTCTGCTGTTTGTTACAATAAAAACCTTTCAACATAATTTTCATGCTTAAACTAACTTATAATACATATTTTAAACGTGGGTTGGTACTGTTATGCATTATGTTTTTGTAAGTAAATAGCTCAAGTACATACAACACATGTAAGCTAACACAAATGCTACTTTTCCCAAAGAAAATCCGCTTTTCTTTGTGATTAAATCCACAGATTATATATATATTTCCCACGAAAGTTTCGTCTAAAAAACTCTACCATCAACTTTTGGGCCACACTCGAGGACCAATGAAAGCCAATATAAAGAGGGATAAAAGATCTCGCAAGAAATCTCGTAATAGATCTATAAAAGATTTAATATAGAATCTCCTTATGAAATGTTTTATAGGTCCATTAAGAATAAAATAATAAGAACCGAAGCGTGTGCGACACTTCCGCATTAAGCCACAAGTCTGTTATATCGCAAATAATATGTCTAAATTACTTCATAATGATCATAGTCATAGAAATAGTTGATTTTGAATCTTATTTGACTGACTGCCTCGTTGGCCGAGTGGTCGCAAGTGCGACTGCCGGCCAAGGGGTCTTGGGTTCGATTCCCGGGTCGGGCAAAGTATTACTGGGTTTTTAAAAATTCTCAGTAGTAGCACGGAGTCTGGAATTGTGCCCGGTAAATGGCAATAGGCTCACCCCCTGTTATATGGGACTCATAACATAAATAGTGAAAAGTGCGTGTTACATTGTACAGTGGCATAATGTGCACCTCTGCCTACCCCTTCGGGGATAAAAGGCGTGATGTTATGTTGTTATGTATGTTGAATCTTATTTGCTAATATTATTGATTCATAATTACACTAACTATATTTTTAAAGTAAGTAAAAGTATAAGACACAAAGATCTTAACAACAATACCCTCGTTTTGGTAATTCTCAGAAGTCTTGTGCTTCGTTTAATCACATCAATTCTCAATTACATGCGCAACATACAATATAAAACTCTGACAACACCAAGTTACATGCGTAATAGTAACAGACAACATCTATAAATTTCTCTAGCTCAGTTCTCTTTTCGTTGACTTTAATTTAGCTTTAATAAAATATTGTCTTACGAAGTAATCTTTTCGTAACAAGGTAATTAAACATGAATGTAATCGTGGTTTCAGGCCGTGGATAAAAATGAACCAATTATAAAGTTCATTATTTGTTACATTTGTTTTAATATCCATAAAAATAGGAGCTTATAGCCCAACGCTAAGAACAATTCGATATTAATAGATTATCGTTACAATTTAAAAAATAGACCATAGCGATGGATTCCTACAATATAACATAACATCACGCCTTTTATCCCCTATGGGGTAAGCAGGTGTGCACATTATGGCACTTAATGCCACTGTACAATGTAACACCCACTTTTTACTATTTATGTTATGAGTTCCATGTAATAGGGGTGAGCCCATTACCATTTACCAGATTATTATTTAAAAAATGCCCAGTTATACTTTGCCCGACCCGGGAATCAAACTCGAGACCTCTTACATGGCAGATACGACCACTCGGCCAACGAGGCAGTCAAAGTTGGTATTGAAGTAATACCGATGAATATCTGTTAAAGAAATCCCAAAAAATTAATCATTTCAAAAAAATATTCTTTCTTTCCATCACTGTTGTAGGGGTTTCAAATAAAACCTGTAACAGTTTTAGTTGCTGTATTTTTGAAGACCCCGCGGGTGCCGACACGAGCCCCGCTCTATTCTTTTGAATTTCGATTGCCATTCGTTTTATTTTTCCTCTTTTGCTTTTACGAATAGGTGCATCGATTCGCATGTCACCGCAGCTCACTGGTTTTCTGAATAATAGCAGTGTTAAGGGCTTGTGAGAGGATTGATTGGTGGTTCGGTATTTTTATTGCATTCTATTCTAAAATTTAGTCGTATAGAATTCCACTATTGATTATAAAAAAAACGGGTGAATACTCAATCACGCAACGGTAGAACGAATTTCATGCAAAACAAAAATTGGTTTGAGAGCGTTTTATGTTTTAACCCGATATTCTACCTATAGAACAGATAGGCAAAATCTGTTTTTCCATTAAAAAAGTTTCATATTTTTATTCAAGCCGGCTTTACTAGTATTGATATCATATTGGATATGTAGAAATTAAAATGCCGATAAGCGCCAACTTAAAAAGAAAAAGTCTAACTTAATTTACTTTATTGCAACATAACATCAGGCCTTGAATCCTCGAAGGGTAGGCAGAGGTATACATTACGGCACTTGAAGCCAATGTACAATGTAGCACACACTTGACACTATTTATGTTGAGTCCAATGTAATATTCCATACTACGTGTTACTGTTATATTACTGTTTTTTTTTTTTTCAATTTCAGTAAATTGAAAAAAAACAGTAATATATTGCTCGACCCAGAAATCGAACCCGAGACCCCTTACCCAGTCGCACTTGCGACCACTCGGCTGACGAGGCAATCTATTGTAAATGAAAATAATTTTAAATAACTAGCACAATATTATGCTGAATTAATTTCAAATACTGATCAAAATTAGGTACGTTCATGAGCATAGCATGACGTTATCACTTTGCTAGCACACGACAATGGATTAACATATAACACACAGCCTGTCAACAAAGACAATAAGATCCTAGAACGAATAGATTATATCGACACAAAATTAGGCTGCTACCACCAGCTATTGAAACCTAAGCATGCTTGAGTGGCACAATTAGATACAACTGATATTAAACTTCAACACAATAGGGACTTTGATTTAGGTATAGTTAGTCACACTATCCAAACTGATGTAGATAATATTGCTAGGTAAAGTATTGCGTTCGTGTGTACTATACACATGAGAATGGGCTTGAAATTGCAAACGATAGGTACTGCTAAGGAGGAGAAAGAACTGGATAGATCAAGTAAAATAAATTTTGATCTCCAGTAAATAGACAGTACTCCAACACATCGCGTATTGCCCTTAGTCTGTCAGATGACAGATCAAAGTAACTGATAAAAAAATATTTCAATTTCGGTAGATTTCAGTTTAACCTTTTTATGAAAATGTTGAAACAAACATAGGAAGCAGATAGGACAATGATTTAGTAAGATTTGTAGGAAAACCTGCAGTGGGAAAACAAAAAGAGAAACAGAATTGTAGTGAAATAATTTTACATGTGTTGTATTGTTATAGTAATGTACTGCAATTTATAGTCAACTAGCTATTACCTACTGCTTCACTCGCAGGGTAAAGGCAAACTATACCATTTTCCAGCCACTTACTCAGGAAAAGTCATACTATAAATAAAACCACCAACTACGAGTTAAAACCTAAAGTAAAATGACTAATCTGGGTAATTAAAATTTCCTACTAGTATATTTGTAATATTTTGTTAAAATCAATAATAGTTCCACTAAAAGGAACTCACAGCATGAAAAAAGGAAAATCTAATACCTAAGCTTCCCTCATCCGAGGGAAATAAAAATTATCTACAAGAAATTACCTGTTGAGTTTCCAAACGACCTTATAACTGGCAGGAACGATACTTACGCAAATACTTTCTTTTTTATTTTCTGCTATCCGGACTTATTAGTTCTGAACTCTTTTCAAGTAAAACAGTTTATATTTTTTCTATTGTCTATGAATGGGCCATTATGCTGAACTTTTATAAACTGTTATTTTGTTACGTGGGAAGTGGGTCAGGTTGTTTTATGTTATATTATGGAAAATGTAATAATATAGGTAAATACATTTTTATCGTTTGTTAAAATTTGATTTTGAAACTGACTATTAGTTTAACCTTAAAAGTATAGTTCGCTTTTTGCGGGGGTTTGGTCGCTATAGTCTTTCTAAAATCTGCAAAATATGTATTTTTTAATAAAACTAATACTGTATCTTTCGACTCATTCAAGCGACATCTTAAAACTATGAGATATAATATGAGTAGAGAATTAAAGTAAGAATTTTATTTCGCACTTGACATCGTATTTTCCTCCACTTCTCGAGTTGAAATCAAATAAAAGAGCAATATCTGATATCGGAAATCTCGGATAAGTGCGTGTAAAGCATTAGCTGGGCAATCCAATTTATGTGGGGAAGGGTGAGAACCAACGCTGGGAACCTTTCCACACCCACAGACGATTGGCTCTGCTTAGTAAGTGCCCTTAAAGGTCGGAATTAGATTCCCTTAGTTAATAACGTAAATGTTGAGAAAATACAAACTTCTGGCCTTGTTAATTATATTATCTACCAAGATAAACCAGTTTCTGGGGTAATATGTTCAGGGATAAACGTGCACTACTTACACGGGCCTTCGCGTTTTCTTTTAACTGCTGGTTAGGGAACTTTTTGTTGATTTGTTTTGATGATTTCGTTTACAGAAGCAAGCAATAATAATTTGTAACATGGGAATTTTATCAACCTATGCCACGTGGATTGTTTTGTTCAATGACAATAAATGACTCGACAAACTCTCTTTCTTGTTTTATTAGCAAATAATTCTCACCACGACGAACGTAACAAGAATTAACCCGAGCCACTCCGACACATAAAATGTACCTCATAATGAATGTCTCTTAATTAATTCTATTTCTCTCTTTTGTTCACAGATTACGCTATCTCCTAAGACAATTGAATAGGGGTGAAATATCCGCAGAGACTTTACAAAAGAACCTTCAGTATGCTGCAAAAGTTCTTGAAGCTGTCTACATTGATGAGACCAAGTATGTATTACACCTATTTAAGTTTTATATCTATGGGCTTAGGGTTGATAATTGGGAAAGACTACGCTTCGTTAACTTTGACTTCATTAATGTCAAGGAAACTTGTAAAACTGATTTTTTTGTGAATTGTCATCCTATTCTGCTATTGTCACAGATTGTCTTTCATACGGATCGATACATTTCTAAATAGAACTTGATATACTTGTAAGAGGATAGACATGTAAGAGCAACAACCATGTTCAATAATAACAAACTTAAGCATTGCTATTGAATCATGAAAATAATTTACTGTAACGATTTCTGTCACAGCAAACTTGTTCGATGATAAATGTGCCGTAACTTTTTAATTAACATCAATAACTTTACCGTTGACATTTCACTGTTGCAAGTTTGTCATCCGAAGCATAGTTTGTCCCAATAAACAAATTATTATTTTGAAAAAATCTCATAACTTATATGTTTCAGATTTGTGTACCGGGTTTTAACTTCGTGTCCATGTTATACTTATTCACGATATTTTTATGATATTCTTTTTTGTTGTGGGTATTTATTTTGCTTGGAAATTATCGTTTCTGTCATTCCTAATACTTATTTGTAGTATCGGAGCATTTTCGTTTCTTTATACAATATCCTTGAGGTTTCTTATTGAAATAATATTCCCGGCCGTGATTTATGCCCGATTTTACTTTATTACCTATTATACTACCTACTTATTATCTGTCTGTTTATTGTTATGAAATATTATAGTCCTTGTTTTTGTTCAGTTTTAAGATAACAATATAATGAAAATAATTACCCTATTTTACTTAAGTTTAATTGTTCCCGTTATTATGATATTTTTATCAAACAATGCTGAGTTTACTTTTAGTTCATATACTGCTATCGTAAAATAACATAATACCTACACAATAAAAAGCATACAAACATAAGTTTGCAATAAAATAATACCCATTCTTGCAGTTCTTATAAAATTTAATGTAGAAACATTTTCTACTTGGAATATTGGAATGAATGTCCTTGCAATATCTGAAGTGGTCCAGCCAATACTGCTAGGCTAGCTCTTATCCACAGGCGACTTCAGCGACAAATGGGCCATTTATCCAGAAAAGTCTTACTATCACTTCTGCATCAAACTTTAAAAGATTGCACATTTTTAAAATTATTTCTTACTATTTTTAATATTTTTTGTAATAATATTAATCTAGGGATTGTAACTAATGGTTTTACTGGTTGGCTCTAACTTATCGCTATAGCTCTAGCCAATTTCCTTTTCGGGCAAGGTACAATTAAAATTGCAGGTTTTTCTATATAGATATGAGTAATGTTTGTGACGTTTCAGGCAAAGAATCTTCTATCATGCAAAAATTTTACAGTATGCAAATTGGCGACGAATACCTAAAAACATAATAATGATGCATTCAGTATTCAGAGAGCCTTCTATATCAAATATTTCAAATATTTACGTATCCACGATTTTACAATTAATTCAACAAGGTAGACACTAAAATTTTTCCTACAAGCATAAAAATATATTACACAAGCGGTACCTGTTAAAGGTACCACATAGACCCTTTAATGAAACCGTAAAAGGAGGGGCTAATTAGTGTCCCTAATCACGACAAGCGAGTCAGGTTAATTAGGGGCACAAAATGGTTTGTTTTAGTGCCCTTGAAAAATTTACGAAAATGCTGTGTACAGACGTAGGTACTTAGGTTAGATGAAGTACTTTTCTATATTTAAAAAGTAAAATACACAGTTTGCAAATTTTAAATAACGGTCTAGTAGGCTTGACAGTTCTAAATAAGAATAGTGAACAATGTTTCGTTCGATTTTCAAATCGAATAAAGTGATGATGACTGTTTGAATCATAAATTGTACAATTGGCCTTATTGCTCTTAATGATAAACCAATGGGTTTCCATCATAAAAATAAATAAAATGCAAATGATGTACTTCGAGATATAAAGAATTTAGTACCGATTTTTCAATATTCCGAAAATTGACAAATTTTCAAAGTCATTCTTCAGTTATTTATCTGGCGTTGGAAAAATCGGCCCTTAGTAGATACCTATTATAAATCTTGTCTCCATATTTCTACGTAACATCCAAGTATCTAATATATTGAGCAATTTAATTTTCCTTGTTAGGAGAATATCTAGCAAATTACTCATAATTTATGAAGACAAATATCGCTTATAAACATCTAAAGCATATTTGCTCATTAAACGAACCAATTTTCGCGACATATTTAAAGGCTTAATTGTCAAAGGCTTGTTTACATAATATATGCTTATTATTCTGAATATACAACCTAATTCTGTGTTATATATTCTGTTTTTGCTGTATACAGATTAAATAATGTATGACCTAATTTTCTATACATGGTTGGTTGATTGTTAGCAAGTACTAATTGCTCATCAAAAATTATATTTTCGAAATATTCACTATTACCATGATCACCATAAATCCAAGTATCACTAAGCGTACGATTCGACTCTTGGTGTCGGGTAGCCCGTAGGTTAACGCACCCGCTTCTCATGCATAAGGATGCGGGTTCGAAACCTACCAACAATGTGACTTTTTCCGAGTCATATGTACTTTCTAAGATTATTTAGATACCACTGACAAACAGTGAAGGAAAATATAATTTCCAATAACAAGTTTGAAATCGCCTACCCGCAATGAGCAAGCGGTGACTAATGGTCAAACCTTCTCAGTGTGAGGAGAGGCTGTGCTCAGCAGTGGGCACTTATAGGCTATTGGTGATGACGGTTCGACTCTTGTAACTAAAGATGGTACAACATACAATATACCTAACAAAAATTACTAGTTACACGGCATAGCTCCTCCATCTCCAACAAGAGGTTCACAATATTCACTAAGCCTTAGTGATAGTTAAGTGTAAAGTAAATAGAAGATTTCTTTTTAAGGGGGGAAAATCGTCGAATGACTGCTTGCCTGGGTGAAGCGGGAGGGAGTGTCAGACTCTTATTAAAAACCACCCCGTTTCTTCTCCTGCACGTCGAGCCGGAGCCCTGGTTATCCGTTAGGTTCTGCGCGACAAAGCAAATAGAGGATAGGAGTAACTCTTCTTCTAAGTTCGATGAGGATTTACTGGGTTTAGACTAGTACCTAACATTACCTAACTTACCCTGTTGATTTGACATCGGTTTCTTAAATGCATTCCAAAGGTCTTAAACTCTGTAATCCCAACACTGAAAAAGAACTAGAAATATGTTTAATCGATCTACAGGACAGTTTTACATATCTCTATCGAAATAAATTTCAAACGTTGCGATACGGAAATAAAAAATACAGTAAAAGCAAAATACAATTAAAACAAACCTGCATCTGTTACATACAAGCTCCCGCTTGTATGTAATACAACTCTGCCAAATGAAATGTAGCTCTATTTGACTGTATATGTAGAGGCAATAACTAAAGTTTGGTCTTTTGAGACTGCTCGTGAATAGGGATGCTTACCCTATCAGAACTTGTTTGTAACTAATTTGTGTAGATTTGCTTAAAACAGAGTTATTTGCATCTACACATAGTTTGATTTTACATCTGGGTATTAGACAGCGAGTTGCAGATTCAAATCGTATATAAAACATTCGTTTTGTGCTACCGCCGTAAATCGTATAAATCGGAAAACTCTATTAGTAATCATATGACTGCACGGTTGGTGCGGTGGCTGGGCAACCGGCTACCATGCAAAGTGTCGCTGGCTTCGATTCCCGCACGGAACAATACTTTGTGTGATCTACAAATTATTTCGGGTCTGGTCGGTGAATTGTGTATGTGAACACAAGTTCACATACACAATGACACCCATGACTATTTATATATGAACATTGTATGTTTGTAAACGCAACCATAACACAGGAGAAAAATCCTAATGAGGGGCAATGTTTTTTTTTAAATGTATAATAATAAAAGTAACAAACCTCTTTTTAATCACACTTGCATACACTTGAAACTGACAATAAACTCGTTTAAAACTCCCGCCATTGCAAAGAATGTAGATAAATGTGCTACAAAGCTATTTTCAATCTAAGTTTACGCGCACTGGTCATAAAAGCACAGCCCATGAACCGTTAAAAAACGTTGAAAATATATCGCATACTGTTTGTATTGTCCAATGTACACAGGACGAAAAAAGCCGAGGACGAATAGTTTAATATTCGACAGAGGTGGGGCAACGCCGTCCTACTTGCACACGATATTCTCTTTTTAAAAAAGTACATGAAATACGATGTGTGATCTAGTAACAAAATCAAAATTTAAATAATTATTACGTAGGTACCATCATCATTATCTATAGCTTCTGAAAACCTATTGCTGGTTCTATGGGTTTTTGGGCCCCTTTTTTATGGCATTAGCCGGTAAACGAGCAGACGGATCACCTGATGGTAAACAATCAGCATCGCCCATGGACACCTAGAACACCAGAGGCGTTACAAGTGCGTTACCGGCCTTTTGGGGAATCAGGAGTTTGAGGATCGTTGGGGATTCAGGAATTGGAGAGATTGGGGAAGCGGAGGGTAATAATGAGCCTCCGGTAACCTCACGTCGCGACCCGCAACGCGGCGACAGTCGCGAAATGCTGCTCATGAATATGCGCCTCTTTTTTTTTTTTTTTTTTTTTTTTAAGGGGGGAAAATCATCGAATGACTGCCCCCGCCTGGGTGAGGCGGGAGGGAGTGTCAGACTCTTACTGACTAAAAACCACCCCGTTCCTTCTCCTGCACGTCGAGCCGGAGCCCCGGTTACCCGTTAGGTTCTCCGCGACTCCGAATCGGCATCGGCCCTATTGGACCCCATCTGTGGTGGTCTGATGGCTCTTTGAGGCGCGCGCGGAACGCGACGCGCCGTACGCTCGGGTCTGTTTCTGGTCGGACGGGGAGCCACCCATGCTCGCCGTCCGCAGGCCCGCGCTTACGGTGGCCGGAGATCGTCCCGCGATCCCCGACGCCCGGTGTGTCCTTCGCGATGGCTGGG